TAACCTAACATAACCTAACATAACCTAACCTAACCTAACCTTTCTTCGACATTTACCTCGTGTTAATTCCACACGCGCGTTTATCCGTTTACCCCTGAAGTTCGTCTAGCCCGCGACACGCCCCGACCTACAGTCACACGATTTCCGTTCAACAGCCGAACGCACCAAACAACGGACCTCCCTGTTCCATTCTTTCGAAAGAACAAGGCAGAAGACTCGGCCCTACACCCCGAGGACCAAGGCCCTTTGTAGCTCGAGGCGCGTGACAAATTCCCACTGTATTATCTTCTCAGTGACTGCAAAATTTTACAATGGCTGTAATTACCATTACGAATGTTTGTTTTAAAAGCAACGAGAATTATTTTCAAACAGAATTAATCCAACCAGAGGATTCGCACGTAAACCTGGTTTATGTAGGAGCCCCTCTGGTTAAAAGATGTCAGATCTTCGTGCGTGCGAAACATTTTGAAGGCAGTGAAACATATAAGCAGTTCTGCAGTAATCACCGAAACGTCTTAACCTCTCGGTCTCTGTCTGAACGACTTTCAATTTGCTTTTGACTCAAATTACATCTTACGAATGTCAAAATGTCGATATATATATTATTCTTGTTAAACGATGATGTTCCTGCTACCGACGTTCTTGAGAGAGGGTTTGTCTTGTCTGAGTGACACCGATCTCGTCCGGAAAATTTGTAAGCAACTGAGAATTTCGATGTGATGTTTGATTTTTGTATCGTACTGACGAAATTGAATGGACAGACCTTGCGTCTCTGAATTATACAAAGGATGGAAAATAAATTATATTTTTCATCATTATTAATAAATGTGGTTCTACTTACATCCGCGTTAAAACCTCAAGAATTAAGAGTAAAAATTTTCAATTTTTGGAATATCCGCGGTCGTATTGCGTCACTCTATTGCTGTGGTGCGCCACGACGTTTCGGCTGCACTGAAAATTCTTATGAAAATATCATTTTCTCACGTTATTCTTTGATAAACGAATCCTTCGGCCTATCAACTCACCCGCAGTAGTAATTTTCAAGTGCCTAGATTTTTATAAGGTAAGGATTTGTATGTAGATATATTTTTTGGTCATGAAGCGAAATTTGGTGCTGTCTTTGACAAATTAAGACATCAGGATTACTAATTAACGTGATAAAGACCAATATTCTATAAAAATTTTGAAACCTCTGTAACTTCTATGCAAGAAACTATTGATTGTATTAAAAGTATTATACGAAGGCTTATTTAACATACAAATGATTAAAAGAAATCTTCAAAACAACAGCACGAATAGGACTAAAATGGCGGTCTGTTGCATTGGTACGTTTAGCTTTCCGAGTCTCCAGGGAATACGGAACTTGGTGCTGACAACGGCTCGTTCTAGACCTGCGCGAAATTCCACCCAGCCAGTTTTATCTCCCTGCGCTGTTGGAAACCGCAGGTCCACTCGAGAAATGTCGGAAACAGATGACAATCGTATCGATCCGCGGCGACACGACCGCGTATTTCCAAACCTTACACGAATTCGACCACGTCCTGGCGGCGTACAGAACAACGCTGTATCAGTGAATTGCACGAACAGTGGATTTATCGGTTTCTCGTAAAGTCTTAGAGTAAACAGCAAATTATTTCTTCTTACGGATATAACCAACTGATCTTTGCAATGCAGAAATCGCGTTTCGTTTAACGTAAGAACTTAATATTTATAAACGTCAATTATTTATAAAAAATTAGGCTTACAAAATGTCTATCCGTTCACCGAGGTAAATAAGATTCCCTTTCAAAAACGTAATACAACGTGAAAACTGGTTCTGAACACAGAATATACAAACGGAATTTGATTTTGTTTTAAATAGAATTGAAACAAGAACAAACTACAAAATTTTTACAAAAAAAAATAACATTTCCTAACTCTGACTTCACTTTTGACGGAAACTTAAGAGAGAAATGACTTAGCCAAAATGTAGTCTGGTAGAAGTTTAACAAAGTTTACGAGGTCCTTGCTGCCTCCATCATCAGGGCAATGACCAGACTACACGGCGTTACAACCAAAAAAGGTCCTTGCTGCCTCCATCATCAGGGCAGACTATACGGCGCTACAACCAAAAAGGCTCGTACTCATCGCCCTGAGAGCTTAAAACGTGCATTTTCATTACTAAAACTTAATTCGATGTATGAATTTACGTATTTCTGTGTTGTATTGTCCTTATTAATTTTAAATTCACCATTTTCTAAAAAAAAAAAATTGTATTTTCTGGTAAGCCCTTCTACAGTCTTAAGTTTAATCGAACGCAATTACGTATCGGTAAAAAGATAATTTTATTCCGAGTCCCCCTGTCAAGGCCTGTCTGCAGAATTCAGCATCGTTACTCGTGCCTTAACTTTCGGACGCTCACGCTTTGTCAAATCACGCATTCAAGTTAACTATAAATGTTTCTCAGACGCCATCAAACAGCCATACAATCTGACGAGCGTTACTTTCTCCATGGACCTCGAGTCGTTCCTCAAAACCTAACAGTCGCTCAGCCCACACAAGAATTTTCCAACATTTTATGAGACCCGAAGGTTCGTCACTGTGCTCAGAAGAGCCCGCCACTGGTCCCTATCTTGAGCCAGATGAATCCAGTCCATACCACCATATCCCGTTTTTCAAAGACAGATTTTAATATTATCCTCCCATCTACGTCTAGGTCTTCCTAGTTCTCTCTTTCCTTCTGGTTTGCCCACAAAAACCCCGTATGCATTCCTCTTCTCTCCCATGCGGGCTACATTCCCTGCCCATCTCATCCTCCTAGACTTGATCAGTCTAATTATATTTTGTGATGAGTAAAACTTATGAATCTCCTCATTATTCAAATTTTTCCAGCCTCTCAGTACTTCATCTCTCTTAGGTCCAAATATTCTCCTCAAACACCCTCAGTCTACGTTCCTTCCTTAGTGTCAGAGACCAAGTTTCACACCCATACAAAACTACAGGCAAAATTATAATTTTTTTGTTTATTTTAATGTTTACGTTTTTTAGACTGCAGACGAAAACACGAAAGTTTCTGGACTGAACGGTAGAAAGCATTACCCGAATTTAATCTGCTCCCAATTTCCTCATGAATCAAATTTTGATTTGATACTCTCGTTCTCAAATATTTGAACTTAGCCACGTTTTCAAAAAAAATCCATTAGCTATCTTTACGTTAAGGTTTTGTCCTGAATTCTGGTAACAAGACGTCAACAAACATTTAGTTTTCTCTGTTACACACATACACACACACACGTAATAACCCTTGATTAATCTTACCTTTACGACTGAAGGAGGCAAATCCGAAACTAATTGTTTAATAACTTAGAGGGCACAAACGAGCAGCCCGTAACGATTTGGATAAGTTTACAAGAGTATAAAAATAAAACTGAGAAAAATTCCACTCAAGTTTCGCAGGCAAACGATAAGAAAGTAAGGAATAAATTACTGAGGGAAATGTCGGTGGATTTAGAAAGTAAATTTAGGTTAGGTTACGTCGTAACACTTAGCGAACATCTCCGATCATTGTCGGGAACGACCGAACAGCAAGTTCTGTCCCTGGTGGAAACATTTCGCACTAACACAGTTGAAATCTGCCGCCCTCGGTGGACTAGTGCTTAGAGTGCTTGCGGTTCAAACCCGGCCGAGGTCCATGGATTTTTAATATGGTGATAAATTAAAGTCAAAATAATAAATGAGAATCGTAAGTCGAAATTCGTTATTACCTGATTGGCAGAGCTAGTAGAAGGATTGAGGCAGGAATAGGCAGATGATAGTCCGAGTAGCTGTAACGTAATCTTCGGTTCTAGACGGTACAAGGACCAGCCACGTGGCCTCAGGTCGCTCATTCTACGTGCCACACCCAAAATTGACCTCGTCCGCTGGGGTCGAAAGATGGGAACATTCACTCCCAACTGTTCGTCGTGAAATGTCTCACCTATGAAGGTAGAAGCGAGAAGGTGTTTTAAAGTTTTCTGTTTTAGATTTGATCCTGGCGATTTTTTTTTTTGAAAAATTTGCCACATAAATTTGGTATTTAAGAGAACGCCTTTCGAGCCATTTTCTCTCTGCGATTTCCTTCATTAACGACTTGGATTTTTGTATTATCTGATAAAGTATTTACGTTTTCATGACTTTAACAATGCGTTCTTGCAACGCTATTGGAATTTGTCGCGACAGGCAGCTGACATGAAAATCGCCAGGCTTGTACAAAACACCTCGAAAACAATCGAAATGTTTCGATAAATCGAAATGTTACGATAAATCGAAATGTTTCGATAAATCGAAATGTTACGATAAATCGAAATGTTTCGATAAATCGAAACTGGGCAATACTGAGGTTGCGACATCTGGAAGGGGGGAAAAGATGCCACTTTACTCTTGTCTTGTACAAATTGCGCGGTTTCCACCTGAAAACTACAAACAAGTGATATCCCCAAACACTGATGACAACGTAATTCTAAAAGTGGTCAAATCGATTCAAGACGAAAAAGGAGAACTCTGTATGTACAACGCTTCAGCAAAGTAATTTATTAATATTATGTGAGGCCAGATAAATGTTGCCCTACGTTAAGGTTATTAATTGTAATGGTGACCCAGAATAATTAGTTTTGAAGCCGTAGATTCATGTATACAGAGACATTTATCAAATAAATTGTTCCTTACGATACAGCTGAGCTGAACTAAGATCAGTGCCTGGTACGTCGTCTCCGCGCCAGGAATTTGTTCTTAGTTAGGGATTTTGTAACAATTCTTTCGTTATAGTTCAAATTATTTCGGTTTTTAACACTTAAATTCTTCTTGCAAGTTGGAAAGATGCTTTGGTCTCATCGAGAAAGTGTACTACGAGCCGACAGTTTATTGTTTCATTGGAGGATGCAGCTTCAAAAAGAAACTAAAATTCGCGATTAAAAGAAGGTTTGAGTAAAATGCAGTAAAATGATACACAGCCTAAACATTGCCCGAATTTCAATTGTGACGTAATAACTTGTCACAAATTGCATTCAAACTATCAATCTACCTCGCCAACTTATTTTACACTGCAGTGCCATCTAACGGAGAGCGCTGGTACTAAGAGACACAGACCTGCCATCTAGCATCGCAAGAACACACCACTATGAAATACCATTACTCAGCCCATGTTCTTACTAAAAACGGAAGTCCGTGGGTACATTTCTTCCCAACATTGTAGTTACGTAATTTTTGCAACTACGCGTTAATCGTGGGGCCATATATCCAGCATCTACTTGGTCCTGTTTCGCAAGGGCACGCCACTTGGTCCCTATCTTGAGCCAGATGAATCCAGTCCATACCACCATATCCCGTTTTTCAAAGACCGATTTTAATATTATCCTCCCACTTACATCTCGGTCTTCCCAGTGGTCTCTTTCCTTCTGGTTTGCCCACAAAAACCCCGTATGCATTCCTCTTCTCTCCCATGCGGGCTATATGCCCTGCCCATCTCATCCTCCTTGACTTGATCAGTTTAATTATATTTTGTGACGAGTACAATTTATGAATCTCCTCATTATTCAAATTTATCCAGCCTCTCAGTACTTCATCTCTATTGGGTCCAAATATTCTCCTCAAACACCCTCAGTCTACGTTCCTCCCTTAGTGACAGAAACCATGTTTCACACCCATACAAAATTACAGGAAAAATTATAGTTTTTGTTTCTTTTAATCTGAACGTTTTTAGACAGCAGACGAAAACACAAAAGTTTCTGAACTGAACGGTAGCAAGCATTACCCGAATTAAATGTGCATTTAATTTCCTACTAAATCAAATTTTGACTTGTTACTGTCACTCCCAAATATCTGAATTTGCCACATTTTCAAAAAAAAATCCATTAGCTATCTTTATGCCATCTGGTGGTCTTGGACCTTCCTAACGACGTATTCTAAAGAAAAATTAAAAAGCAATGACGATAAAGCATCTCCTAATTTTAGACCATTTTGAATTGGAAACGTATCAGACTAATGTTTACTTATAGGGACTTTAATATAAGTTCAGTTTAAAGATATTTTAATAAGCCTAACTAGTTTCATGGGTGAACCTAACTCAATGAGAATATTATTCAATACTTCCCTTCTAAGTGAATTACAGGCTTTCTTGAAGTCTGTATGAATAGCTGACACATTGACTCACATTTTTTCTAGTATTTGACAAATACAAAAAAATTAGATCAGTAGTTGACCTATTACATAAAAAAACACTATATTCTCTGCTTCGATCTTTTATCTCGCTTAGTTTCCGACCTAGACAGATCTTCACCGGGGTTAGAGCCTAGGACAGATTTATAGGGTTGTGGCATTTTATGCTATAAATTCCTCGCCAAAACAAGCAACTTCAATCTCGGTGACTTTGTTACCAAGCTACAGCGACCGCCCTCGCAGGTCTCGAAATCAGGACAATTTTTCACAGTTTTTACCTTCCTGATATCTCCCAATGTTCTCACGGAGTAATCGTATCAAGTTTGTAGAATATCGGTTCATCTATTTCATAGCCATAATCAAACACAACTCCACAATTTGAAAACGTCAATTTTATATCTGAGTTTGTGGTTATTTTTTGACTTGATGGAACAACGCGTGGATTTAACAAAAGGGGCGATGAGACAAGCGAATGCTTTTAAAAAGTGTTTTCAAAAACTTCTGATTTTGGAATTTTGTTGTAGAACAAAGAAGGAAAGGCTGCTAGGAGAGAACTATTAATATTTTAATAATTTTGTAATTTTTCTAACCAAGCACGCCCCTTAAAGTGGATGATTCTATTACAGATAAGTTTTTTCATAATCTGAGAAACCCATAAAACCACATAAAACACAAAAGCATTTCATTTCCCAATGGTATAAACCTTTTAATAACGTAATGATCTAAAGGGACAGAGTCTCCCTTTCGACCACTTGCACGTACATGTCAAGTACATATATGGCCCCTTTTCAGCCCTTAAAGGCTAATATGGATGAAACAGGACTACCAGCTGTCCAACACAAGTTACTAAAAGTAATATCACAAACAGATGATCATCGGGGCCTGTACTCCTCACCTGTTAGCGAGATTAAATCAAGGAGGTCGAGGTGGGCGGAACATGCGGCACGGGGGAGGGGAGGAGTGTTTACAGGGTACTGGTTGGGAGGCCTGAAGGGAGGAGACTGCTCGGAAGACCTAGGCGTAGGTGGGAGGGCAACGTTAAGACGGACGAAAGGGAGAGAGGAATCGACAGAGTGAACTGGATGCAGCTGGCTCAGGATAGCCTGGTGGAGGGCTGTTGTAAGCACAATGATGAACCTTCGGGTTCCACGTAGAAAGTGGGTTTTTTTTTTTGAAAAGCTGAATAACAATCAACTTTTCAAAGAATTCCTGCGCTGTAGACTGTGTGAGTGAATATAATAAATAGAAAAGACGCTGATTTCAAAAGGTTGTAATTGCAGAAAGATAATGAACAGTTATGGTAGTTCCTTGCTTTCAACCAAATTGAGTGTTTATTACACCAGGCCTTAATTTTCTGCCTAAATGGATGAAACCAGAACTTTTTCTCGATCCTACAACAAAAACCTTAGCCCATTTAAGAATCAGAATCTATGAATTCTGATCTGTTTATCACGTTGCCCTGTATTGTATACATCACAGCATGCCCAGTGAAGACGACCAGGCACTAATGTCGCAACTACATCCTCTGTTCTTTACTTCCGCAGAGATCATTCTATTACCCCACCTTCCACACTAGAACATATTAGTCGCATGCTTCTACCATTTAATTGATGGATTAAAGCCGATGGTGACTTTGTTCCTGTTACAGATGCCTACTTCAGCAGGGCAAACAGGTATAGGAAGTATTGTAAAAATTCATTCATTACCACAAGCTGAGAGAACAGTAATGGACAAAAACAAGGGGGAGGGGGAGGGGGAATACTGAAGGAAAAGGAAGATAAGATAAAGAGCACCAAGAAAGAGTCCAGGCAAAGAAGAGTCAAGTATATGTTTCAGAGCGAACAAAACCTTAGATGGCTGTCTTCTGGGTTGTTGCACTGCGTAGACTTTCAGAAGTTTACCGGCTGCATTGGCGTAGGGGGCAGCGAGGACCTCTGAAACGTCGGCAAACTTCCGACACGCTACTTGGCACTATAACCCAGAAGACAGCCATCTTCAATCCACATACTACAACCCTCACCACGGACAAAAGTTTAAACACTACCAAAATTAAGTCAAACCGTGTAAGACATTCTAACATACCTGCCAACAACAAAATATTAAAGTTAAGTGGCAGACTTGCACGGCACTTTATTCTGCACACATACGTTAAGAAAGCGACGCGTGTACGAACCCATATTCGGAAAGACATTTTTTGCAACATACCACAGTTTCACCAAACCTAACCTAACCTAAACAAAACAGAAAAGAACGCCCACAAACAGTCAGTACGGGGGCTTTTCGACAAGACTACCGCGATGGAAACCAGCAAAGAGTAGCAAAATGCGACAAGGAATAAAATAACACAGAGTACTAGAAAGGCAAAGAGAAACAATTAGAGTTTTCAACCAAAAATTATGAAGAATCTCAACAAACTGATACAGTAAGGCATTTTTCCTGCTTCCGTGATTATTACACGATGTCAGAGAATCCGGACCGCTGGATTTTTCGACCTTGCCCACTGTCTAACGTCACAAAATAGACAACATTTCAAGAATTGGTTCTGTCCTCGTCCTCGGGTGTAGTAAAGGAGGGGGTACCTACTCCGTGGGGTCCATCAGAATAAGCTAACCTCGATTGCTGGACCGATGAACGTTGCGTAACTTTACCGCATCAGACGATGGACAAAGTCCAAAAAACCCAACAGTAAAGATTGCATTAAACCATCGTCAGAAACCTTCAGAATCGAGAAGTATGGAAAATTTACTTTTGCGCCACGCCCAACTTCAAATACTGTAGTTAATTTATTTCTAGATAGATGTCGGTACCCGACGGTTGACAAACGTCATCCCAAAGTATTACCTCAATTGACTAATCGAGAGAATTTTATGACACTTCATATTTTTGAGCATTACAGTGAACTTACAATTTTTTTCACAAGATCACGGACCACGTGAAAGATTGGCATTAAAACCGCGAAGAAAATCTGACGCGCATTAAGTTAACCTACTTTAAAAAACATGCATTATTATTCCAAAGTGGCTGGCTGGTGTATTTCAGGTAGTGACCAACCTAACCTGGTAAAATGCAGTAAACCAGAAGAGCTAAAAGAAGTATCACATTTTACATAACACGAGTTAGATCTTATTAAGTAATGGTGGCCAACGTTCGTCTATAAGCCTAAACGTTACTGCCACAACCAGCTTCATCTGCAATGTCACTTCAATCTGTGAAGATACAGCAATATTAATTTTTGTATGAATAAAATCAGCTACACAAAACCCACATCTCACTCAGAAGCCTCCTTGATGCCGGCTACGACTTGTTCGATCTGTGCTGTAACACTTGTTCGTGGGAGGAAGAACGAGAAGAAACTTCGGCTCGGGGCGTGCTCGGAGAAGGAAGTGGTGGGGGCTGCAGTTCCACATCGTGGAAGTACTTGTGACTCATCGCTTCCATTGCAGACAGTCGCTTGTTGGGGTCGTAAGTCAGAAGTTTCTGAAACAATAAGACACAAAGTATTCAACTATGTACAAACTTTCAAATATAATTACCCTCTTCCCCGCAGCCAAGCTTAGACATGAGCAAAACATTTCCTCTCACTGAATAAAAACTTAATACATCAAGGTAGTAAGATGACAAAGAATATTATGACCTCGTGCATAAGCAGAGGCCAGCAGTGACTCGCACCCAGACAGAAGAACAAATGACGCCCCTCAAGTTCACGCACGAACAACGGCAGGTTCGACACTAAGCTGCTACGCTAAACGCATCTATTTAAGTATAGTGACCTTCCGTAACACGAGTTTTAATGTAAAGGCCTAGGCATTATTTTGTCCATCATCAGGGTGATAGCAAGGACCTCTGAAATGTCGGTAAACTTCTAGCAGACTACACGGCACAACAACCCAAAAGACAATCATCTATGAGGAAGAATGTCTGCAATCTATCATCACACAAAATTTCATACCCAATACTTCCACGGGTTTTTACGAATGGGGGACAAAGAACTACCTCGAAATTAATCACGAAACACATATAGATACAATACGATATCTTCAAATAAAAATAGCAAGTTAAAAATGAAAAAGAGAATCAGTCTGATTAGTGGAACACGACCATCAGTGGTCTGCCTCTAACTCCATACAGAAGTCCCTTTTTGAGAAGCTGAATCACACAGATTGTTAGAAAATTCCCAATCTTTTATGGAGCACGAACGTACACAAGAGCCACCCAACGGATCCTACACTGAGCCGAACAAATTGAGTTCATGAATGAAAGCAGTGGCCAATATTCCTGACATTCAAAATGAGTCTCAATTCTTTTGATGACGTCTCGACAGTCCATCGGTTTACCTCTCCTTAAAAATAACGAGGATAAATAAACGATAAAATGTCGCCGGTGTTGCACGAAACGCATCCAATTATATATCGTCGCCCTTCTTGGCCTCCGTGACATGATGAGACAATCTATTTCTGACATGACAGCAGCTCCAAGGCAAATTCTGTTACTCCCACGACGTCCAGACCAGGACATCTAGTACAGAAATATCGTACCCACACAGTTCACAGATGCCATTTCTCGAATGTTTCGAAACAAATGGGATACCGCGTTGCTTACGCTGCAACGGCTTTGCAGAAAAAATGAGGCAAAGGCCTAGACACTCGAGAATGAGAACATTTTTAGAAGGAAAACTGTACAGAGATAAACTTACGAGACAACTACTAGTTCAATTACCTATTAATGAGTATAAAATATGAAACTGTCGTACGCCCAACAATAAGACTCACTTTCACAGAGATATTTGGGTTGCGGAGACTATACGTTATCCTCATAAATGTGGTCAAGATTTCAGAGCAATCAATAACAGTCGCTGTTCTGGAAGAGCGAGTAGCCCTGAATGAATTTCTGAAGGTACGTCTGTTTCGCCGTCCTGACCACTTCTAATCACTGTATCCAAGTATGCAAAAAAAACCAACAAGATGATTTTTTTGGAATATGATTTATTGTCAAGATAACTGTTAATAATACAGCAATCCCTCATTAATGACAAGTGTTACATTCCTGAAAAACAATGCAGTTAGTAAAACTGCATTTCACAAGATACGGTCTTACGGGGAAATTCGGATTTAGGGAAACATGACCACTGTTAACTTCCATCAAAGCCGATCTAAGAACGACGTATCAAAATTCACGAGCGTATCTACCGTAAACCAAAAATTATGTCCAATGGCAACACAAATGCAAGCGTCAGATGATGGGAAGATTGCAAGGGCAACAGGGACCAAGATCTGCCACTACTTCTACAGCCTACATGTGATAATTTCACAACCAATAGTAAAAACGGATTGGGTTATCTGTCTCGCTTCATGGTCTATCCCTCCCTCCTACATGTGTACCTGTAATAGTCATTTGGGCTCATAATTATGATTACAATAAAACAATGTCAATAATACCAGGACGTGTCCTACCATTTTTCTACAAAATCTTCAGAATGATTCACACACGTCAGTGCCGCACTCCAGCTCCTTACCACCGACTACGCATGGGTTCCTGTAATACATCATCGGCCTCACAGTTCTTACAGATCTGCTGACTGAGGGTTCTATTCTGGCCTTCTTTTGTTTTGGAGATGTCATTTGATGCCATTCCATGGCGTGACATTTCGTTTCTGGGTTAAAATAATGGCACCGGTTTCCACCATCAGTGTTGCATTTAGCAAGAGAAGAATTTCACAATCAATCATCCCGAGTTTGAACTCTACACCATCAGACCAGCAAATACGCTCAAAAACAAAAGAGTAATATAAAGTTCTCTCACCAGAAAGAGATCCTTGCCTGGAACATCTAGCATGGGCACAACTTCAGACACATCCTGGGTCTCCCAGTGAGGGAAGATCTTCTTGTAGTCACGGAGGTTAGACACTCCGGGCCACACGCTTTCATCTGGTGTGCCCAGCGTGCGAAAAATCCTGAATAGCTGGTCAATCTCCGAGTCTCCCGGAAACAGCGCTCGTCGAGTCAGCTGTAATACCAAATTCTTTGTGCAGAAATAAAACCAAGACATGTATAAGTTCATGTTTCATACACACAAAGGCGAGTCAAATTAAAACTCCAAAAGAAAGAAAAAATTGAAACATATCATCACAGTTAAGTCATCAGCAACGGTTAGAGGCACATATTGTGTGCGATAGATCTGGCAATGCAGGCTGCATGAATCACGCATGAAAGAGAAATAGCGTTGTCATCAGTATCTTGGTTAGCAACGGTGCGAAACCCATCAAAATCCACTGTCGCACTGAATTGCAGAATTTTAACACGTGCTTATCGCTGTAGCAGGTGTACAAACGAAGTAAAAAGTTTAAAAAAAAGTGTGTACGGTGAGCCAGATGCTCCTCAATCGGACAGGACCCACAGAGTCGCGACACCGCAGGCGATTTCGGACGGTGAACATGTCGTCACGGAAAACTTTCATGTCACAGTGGACAAAGTGGCTGCCATGTTGCACATCAGTTATGGTTCAGATCACTTTAACATCCACGATTTGATGCAGTTCCACAAAGTGTCTGCAATGTGGTTGCCTAGACAACTGACTCTTGAATTCACATAATCGAAGTGCAAGAATGTATTTTTCGCAAGCGCGATGCCATGGGGGTACGTACACAGACACCAACGTTTCCTCAGTCTTCAGACCTAAAGATCGATATAGTATGTTCTTCCATAATGGCGATATCTACCTACAAATCCACACAGAAGCTCAACACTGGCATAGTACAAAAGCGATCCCATATGCCAGAGAAATGGGACGACAGACAGGAAACACTAACAACAAACTTACCATTTCTGCAAAGACGCAACCGAGGCTCCAGACATCAACAGACGTTGAGTAGAATTTGCTGCCCAACAGGATTTCAGGTGCGCGATACCAAAGAGTCACAACTTCATGAGTGTACGTGCGTACAGGCATACCGAATGCACGTGCCAGCCCGAAGTCTGCCAGTTTGATATAACCTCTCCTATCAATCAGCAGGTTCTGCGGCTTCAGATCCCTGTGCAGCACGCGGTGCACGTGGCAGTACGCTATGCCTTTCAAAAGCTGGTACAGGTAGCTCTACGAACACACAATTCCCAACTTTGAACACTCATCACACTCTCACACTTTGATAGTTTGAATACAAGGTTTATACAAATTAACTTTGCAACTTTATTCATGAATAAAATCCTTTATGAAAAGACAGACACGCTAATCGTCATCTACGAGAGAAAATCTCAAAGTTTCACAGAGTCCCCAGTAGATGACAGCACCCATCTTTGTCAATTGGGTCGGTTGCCATGAACCCGCGCCCTGCACGGGTTTTCGTCTACTCCCAGCAATATTCTTGTTATTAATCCAATCAAAATGCACTGAACTATAACCATAAATAAATATTTTAATATGGGTCACATGACATTTTGTTCAACATGAAAATTATTGGATCAGAAAACCATATATAATTTCTGAAACTTTCTCCTAACACCAAACACTTAAACTTCAAGAAATCTGCAACAGTTCGCAAATAAGCAAAACTTATATAAAAATCATGTATACGGAATATAAAATAGTTAGATTGAATTATTCGTGTAACTGAGGATCTATAACATAGATGAAACTAAAGAACTACAAATTATCCAACAGAAAGTACATAACAATAGCTGCAATAAAATTAACACGACACAAAGAAAAATATAAGAACAAATATGAGAGCCATTTGCAAGCGACACACGACCAACACAAAGCACAAATGATAAACCATCATAGGAAAAAAAATGGCCATATTTACACCACAACAGAAGAGGTTAAACATATAACAAAAATTATTCACAGACACAATCATAAAAATAGCCTTCCATACATTGAATACCATTATGAGCTTCACTGTAAACAATGTCCACTTTACTTCAAGGCTAAAAAGGCTCTACAATACAAATCGGATATAAACAGCACATACGAGCAATATTTAACGGGAACTCCTCTGTATGAGTCCAACATATACTAAAATTAGGGCACACATATGGACGTACAGATGCCACGACCAACATTATAAATATTGCTAGAAAGGGCTAATATCTTAGCAGTTTAGAAAAATATTACATTTCGTGTGCATGACTCACTCTGACTGACTCTACGGCACACCAGACCGAAGCCAAACCTTGGCCTCCTCCCATGTGGGAGGTTTCTTTGTCTTTTATGAGTAGCGAGTGACCAGCCCACTTCCTCTGCACAATTTCTACTCAATCCTGATTTGACTACCAGAGCCATCTAGTAGAGAATCAGGAGAGACTTGGCTGAGAAATGACCACTGAATTTTGCTTACGAAACATCTCGTTCATGCTCGTAAATCTACGACATGGGACCGCAGGCTTTACTTCCCCTCCGAAGGAAGTCGTGCTATGAATTTTTATCACCCTTAAAATTCCATCGACCTCGGCCTGGCTTGAACCCGTGAACATTGGGTCCAGTGGCGAACACGCTAACCACTAGTCTGCCAAGGGCGACCATTTAGTGTACATATAAAGAAAAAATCTGTATGAGGTTAAAGCAGACACAACCTTATCTTTGATTCTTTCTACATCTCTACTCCCTGATACGTCTGCATGGTGGGATGCTTAGTCATTCATTAGGGGCAATTTTACTTTTATTTACATGTAGAGTTAGACATGGAAAGATATATTTCAATGCAAAAAAAGTCATCTTTAAAATGACTACTTTAATCACAGTCATTCACTGCTTCACAGCTTGCCCTAAATTTAAGCCTCCAGTAAATATTCTTGGACGTGTTAGAGTTCAAGTGTACCCAATCACCCAATTTCTCCCTCCTACTACCCCTTCTCACCAAAAGCCGACTAGCTGGCTGCTGGCCTCACGTTCACATGCCTAAGCAGAGGTGAACGATCATCCAACCAGATATAGGGTGACGTGTGGTCAGCACAACGAACCCCCAGCCATTGCTAGTTTTCCTGACCGGATTACGCTACTCATTGTAGCTCCCCAATTTCTTCACGATGCTGGGTTGGGTTGCTGGTTTGTACAGTAACCGGGTCAAAGATAATAAATTTCAAGCTACCAGTTAACAGATGAGAAAGAATATAGCTCAGAAATGGCATGAATTTTGTATTTTGTAATTATGAAAGGGTAATTCATGTCAACTTCCTGCGACCTCATGCAGCAGCACTGCCCTTGTTCGTGACATACGAAAAGGTTAAGTACAAAGGGATCTGAGGTTTCATGACCATAAAAATATGGATTGCAGTCTGCTGGGGTTATGACACTGGGTAGTCTTGAAATTACAAAAATTTCCAAGGCATCTGTCTCCATCTTCAGTGTAGTACTACGTGTCTCACCTTTACAAGTGACTGTGGCAACATTTCTGGCTGTGAATCCAAGTACTTCTTCAAGTCTTGCATGAGAAACTCAAAGACGAGGTACAGCTTCTTTCCCGCTTGAACAACATCGAGCAGTCTAACGACATTTGGGTGATCAAGCTCTTTCAGCAGCGAGATCTCTCGTATGGCCGTCGATGGGACGCCCTCGGTCTCCCTGCGATAACAAAACATTAATGACTGCGAGGCAGCCTCGTGAAAATGTGTTAATAAAGCGTATACTGTACAAACCTGTGTTAGTTGCTGTAGCAGATGTTAAGGCCACCATGAACTAAGCTGAATCATGTGGTGCTACGCATCTCGGACACAACGTGGCAACCGCACGAGTCAGCTCCACTCAGGGCAGGTTAGTGTAGCGACACATGCAGTCCAATAGTTAGTTGTATAGCAACATGCAGCACCAGTTATAAAATTAGAAATTCATACAACATTACAATTGTTGTACGCCAGCTCTCGACAAGTAAGCAAGAAATCACACATTTATTATTCTACGTGACAACCTTTTATTTATCACTGAACCGTACATCACGATTATGGCTGAAGACAATTCTTCTCATCTCAGGCCCAGAGAAGCTACCTGCAAGGCAGAGGGTGAAATCATTTGTACAGGTTAATCATGAAGTACCCATGCCTCAGTGCAACTTAGGGGCTCACATGCGCTGTAACCGTCATCGGTCCCAGAATTTGGCCTATTATCAGCATTTCAAAACATAACCAAATGCTTTACCAAAGTGGTTAGATACTCCCGCTTCATAACTCGGAGAATCTAAATCTGAATTTGGAATTTACGCCGTGGTTTTCGTGGCAAATAAGTCAGCCACAACGTCAACACATCCTTCGCAATTCATCGTCATTCTACCAATATCATACAACCTATGCAGTTAAATAAAAGAATGCAACAGAACAATATGTATTAAATGACCTTCCTAAATATCCTCACCTTGCTCAAATTTATACTAAAAAAAATTAATTAAGGGTTCCGTTACCTCATGCAAAGTAATAACCAACTTTGCCCTTTATTGATTAGACTTGTAGCATGTTCCAGCTTCATCAATCCATCTTTTCCTTGGTCTACCAACATTCCTCCTTCCTTTCACCATAACCACTTATATTTTAAGATGTTTCATTACCTGAGACACTTTTAATAAACTTTCTTCAGTTCTCAGTTTACCTCATTTAACACCTCAAGGAGGAGAGGTAGGACAGAAGATAAAACAAAAGACTATCATTCGCGTTCTTTGGAAAAAGGAATTCTGATCACGAAATGACATGCTTTTCGTACGGAAGGGAATCATGCGAGAAGTTAAGACGTCAGGGAATTTTACTGACGAAATATCGAATAAAAATTTCCTTGGATAATATCCATCGTCTAGTAAATATAAAACGTAAAACGACGTTTCGGAGATAGGGATTAGCTCTATCTAGTGGGCCCAACTGTGTAGGAACCTGAAGACGGAGATAGAGTCCCATCTCCGAAACGTCGTTTTACGTTTTATATTTACTAGACGATGGATAATATCCAAGTAAATTTTTATTCAATTGACTCTTCACCATCGTCAAGAAGTTTTAGATTGGATATACCTCAAGTTCTCTTAAAAACCTCATTTCTGTTGCTTGTATTCTAGTCAAAACTCTCTTCCTGTTGACTCATGTTCTACTTTCATACGGCAACTGCGGCAGAGTCTTGACAACATGAAGCATTAAGTCGTGCGCATTTTCAAGATTATGTTTTTAATATTCTATTAATACATCCACACGTAGCTTGAAAAGACACATCTTTATACATCTCTTAAATAATATCGGGGTCAAGATATTTGACCTTACTAACCACGCATCACATCTTATATGCAGACCGGCCGGCCGTGTGTTACATCACCGTAGTGCTAAAGCACTAATCCTGGGGTTACATCCAACCAGCAGTCCCACGGTGTCTTAAATTGCCCTTTGCTGTATAATGGTTAACGCGCGCACCTGTTATATAACTCTGCGTCCATACTGGCTCTTGGGAGCCCACCCAGCCTCATGTCCAATGTTCCAGGGGTGAGTGTGGCCGGGGCATGAAAATGACCACTCACCCCCAATTTAGTGCTGAGGTCAAGAATGGGTGGAAGTATACCTCCTCTCCCCAGAAGCACCTTAATGGCATGTAGCAGGACAGTTTTACTTTTTATAGTTGTTCTGTAACTGCATCCTAGTTTTTTTTTGTGTGTTCGTCACGAAAATTTCAATTTGAAAACAAAAGTAGTGACTGGAAACAATGAAATATTTCCATGGAGAAATGATTTCATTTAATGAAATTAAATACGCTTGGCAGTCATTAAAAGCATTATCCTCAGTTATCTAACTACTTCGGTAACTCGGTTTGAGAAATATCTTCCAACTGATTGGAATATAAGAAACACAACTGGATAAGAAATCCCTTCAATGCACCATCAGAGCAAACAAAACACCTCTCGCTACTTCCTCAAGAAGGGGAACTGTCTAATGACAGGACTTTTCAATTGGTATTTCTGAATAAAGATACGTGTGACTTCTGGTTAACTGTCAAAAACAACCAATCGCTTGTGGCAGAATTTGCAATTAGATCTTATCTTTGTTAATCAGTATTCTTATGTTAACATACGTTATGTCGTAGTATCATACAAGCCTTGCAATGTTGAGAACAGTCTGAGAATGGTATTATCAGATATTGAACCGAAATTAAATCTTCTACGTTCAAGATGCAGGCACATCCATCTCATAAACATGGCAAATGTTTAAAATATTTACACACAAATAGCCTCGCACAATATGCTTTTAAAATTTGTTTTTGTATTTTGTATTGTTAAGCTATACAATAACTGGATAGGTCACTATAAAGTAAATAAGTTTGGGGGGAGGCATTGAAGCCTGTGAGACTAACTGAGCA